CTTTGGGAGCCGAGGCAGGCGGATCACCTGAGGTCAGGAGTTCGAGACCAACCTGGTCAACATGGAGAAACCCCTTCTCTACTGAAAATACAAAAATTAGCCAGTCATAATAGCACGCACCTGTAATCCCAGCTACCCAGGAGGCTGAAGCAGGAGAATCACTAGAACTGGGAGGCAGAGGCTGCAGTGAGCCAAGATTGCACCACTGCATTCCAGCCTGAGCGACAGAGCAAGACTCTGCTAAAAAAAAAAAAAAAAAAAAAAAAATTAGTAGCTCACACAGAGGCCACAAAGTAGGAAGAAGTTCTTTGTGTCTGAAAACCAGCAAGATGGCCAATGTGGCCATGGCAGAGTCAGGGAAGAACGATATAAAGTGAGGTAGGAAGCCGGGCTCGGTGACTCTCACGCCTGTAATCCTAACACTTTGGGAGGCCAGGGAGGATGGATCACCTGAGGTCAGGAGTTCAAGACCATCCTAGACAACATGGCGAAACCCCATCTCTACTAAAAATACAAAAAATTAGCTGGGTGTGGTGGCAGGTGCCTATAATCCCAGCCGCTCAGGAGGCTGAGGCAGGAGAATCACTTGAACCTGGGAGGTAGAGTTTGCAGTGAGCTGAGATCACGCTACTGCACTCCAGCTTGGGCGACAGAGTGAGACTCCATCTCAGAAAAAAAAAAGTTTTGTACAATCTAGGATGGTGGTTATAGTTACACAACAGTGTGAATGTAGTTAATGCCACTGGACTTACATTTTAAATGGTAATTATGTATTATGCTTTTTTTTTCTTTTTTTTTTTTTTGAGACAGAGTCCCACTCTTGTTGCCCAGGCTGGAGTGCAGTGGTGCGATCTTGGCTCACCACAATCTCTGCCTCCCGGGTTCAATCGATTCTCCTGCCTTAGCCTCCCAAGTAGCTGGATTACAGGCATGTGCCACCACGCATAGCTAATTTCATATTTTTAGGAGAGATGGGGTTTCTCCACGTTGGTCAGGCTGGTCTTGAACTCCCTACCTCAGGTGATTCGCCCTCCTTGGCCTCCCAAAGTGCTGGGATTACAGTTGTGAGCCACCATACCCAGCCTCATATTTTTGCAAAAAAAAGAAAAAATTTCAAGATCTGGGAACAGGATCCTAGGACTTAGAATATTTCTCTGGCCCAAACTACCTCTTTTTCTGCTATCAAGGGATCCAGGACACCCAGATGCTAATCAGGAGCTCTTATGGGAGCCTGGAAAGCAGCTGCAGAAGAGTATCTTGACTTCTACCTGTGTAACTACAGTTCTATGTGGCCAGCTAACTGGCCAGGAGACCATGTCTCTGTTCTTGTATGCGTAATGCTGCATAAGTACTGCCAAATTCTTGGGCGGTGGGGTGGGGGGTGTCTCCTTGTGTCAGTATCTTGCAGGCCATTTCCCCATTGTTAGAGAACAGTTGAGTGTGCCGTTTTCTTGGATTGCCTGTGGTGGGGGAGGTGCGCTGGCTGTGGTGATGCAGGAGCAGCAGTTACTATGTAGAATGGGCTTAAGGTCCCCAGTGATTCAAAGTTCACAGTTGCCTCAGCTACACACTTTTCTGTTTTGAAACAGGATCTCACTCTGTCACCCAGGCTGGAGTGCAGTGGCGCAATCATGGCTCTCTGCAGCCTCGAACTACTGGGCTCGAGTGATCCTTCCACCACAGCCTCCTGAGTAGCTGGGACTACAGATGCACACCACCATGCCTAACTCATTTTTAATAATTTTTTATAGAGATGGGGCCCAACTATGTTGCCCAGGCTTGTTAGACTTTTAAAATTCTTAAGACCTGACAATATCATTTGAAACCATATCACTCCATTTCCCTCTCTTTATACCTTAAGGAAGACAGAGGCATCCTTTCAGTCTTTGAGAGACAAAATGTGGGTGGCAATAAATGCGGGTTGGCTGAACGTGGTGGCTCATATCTCTAATCCCAGCACTTTGGGAGGCCAAGAAGGGTGGATAATTTGAGGTCAGTAGTTAAAGTCCAGCCTGGTCAACATGGTGAAACCTCATCTGAACAGGCGCAGTGATTCATGCCTATGATCCCAGCACTTTGGGAGGCTGAGGCAGCTGAATCACCTGAGTTTAGGATTTTGAAACCAGCCTGGCCAACAAGGCAAAACTCCATCTCTACTAAAAATACAAAAATTAGCCAGGTGTGGTTGTACACACCTGTAATCCCAGCTACTTGAGAGGCTGAGGCAGGAGAATCACTTGAATCTGTGAGGCAAAGGTTGCAGTGAGCCAAGATCATGCCACTGCACTCCAACCTGGGCAACAGAGCGAGACTCCATCTCAAAAAAAAAAAAAAAAGAAAGAAAGAAACCCCATCTCTACTAAAAATACAAAAATTAGCCGGGCATGGTGGCACATGCCTGTAGTCCCAGCTACTACTTGGAAGCCTGAGATACAAGAATCACTAGAACCTGAGAGGCAGAGGTTGCAATGAGCCACAATCACACCTCTGCACTCTGGCCTGGGCAAGAAAGCAAAACCCTGTCTCAAGGAAAAAAAGAAAAATAAAAAAGAAAGAAATGAGGGTGGCTCTGCAAAAGCCCCTCTGCGTGAAAGGGCAATGGAGATGGCCGCCAGTGTGCAGCGCTGCTGGCCTTCACGCAGAGCCGTGGGCCCTGATAGAGCTGGTCCTGGAGGTTCGGCAGCCGTTCGGCATAAGCCACTCCAGTCCCCTGGCAGTGAGTTTGGAGTATCTTTTAACTTTGCTCCTAAAGGTAGATTCCACGTGCTCTCAGAAGAATGGTAAGGGGAGGGAGAAACAGGGCAGACAAATGAGACAAAAGCTAGAAAAAGATTTGTACTGATGCTAGAAAAAAGCGAAAGCTTTTTGTGGGTTTATTTATGCAAAGTAGAGTGCAAATACCTTGACTTGGTGGCTGTTTAGCACCTTCCCTCCTCCCCTGATTACCTTCCAAACTGACACACACATACACACCCCAAAGCAATTCAGAGCGCTGGTCTGGAAAAGCTTCCCACTGGGTTGTCAGTAGCTTGCCCTGTGATGACAGGTTTAATGGCTTTCTATCTCTGCATTACCCTAGGACCACCTACTCAGAGGCCACGCCATGTGACCAGGTTAGCCAGAGCCTGAGAGTAAGCGTGCACAGACAGAGGGTAGCACCAGCACAGCAGCTGGGAGAGCTGCGTTTTGCTTTGAGGGAATCACTCTGGTTGGCTGTGTGACCATGCCCATGTTGCCTGCCCTCTCTGTAATTCAGGGTCCCAAATTATAAAATGAGACTGAGGGTTCTTGTCTCCTAGAAATGTCATGAGGACAAAGTAAATTATTGGTCTTCGACTTTTTTTTTTTTTTTTTTTTGAGGTAGGATTTCCTAGGCTCTGTTCTATCAGAGAAGAAAATGTCCTTAGAAGGCATTTAATCAGAGAACAGACACCTGTTCACAACTTGCCTTGAAGTCTCTTACATGTCTCCTTCCAAAGAAGTCCAAAAGAATTTTCAGTAATTTCTGGCCAGCAACCTTCAGTTGGGGATGGAGGTGATGTATATGTCTTTCTTCAAGTGCCCTTTTCAGTCCAGTCTCTCTTTGAGTGACACTGGTTGGGGTGGACCATGGGTCATGGATGAAAACAGTATCCCCACTGCTCAGGTCTGCCTAACTGGGTAATTCACCCATCAGCCTGCCCTCTCTGTGGGCAAAACCCTAGCCTTTGTATTGATGTGTTTGATTGTTTAAAGCCAGCCCTGCTGGCTCAGTGTCCCCTGCTGGTCTCCATTTGCAGCAAAGAGCACACAACCAGAGGGCAGCAGTCACTGAGGGCCAGGGCCAGGGCTGCACCAGGCTTCCCAGTCACCTGCCTTCAGTGTCTGGGAACTCACTGTCGACTTCTTGTCCTTATGAAAGTTCCTTGGGATCTCCTGTTGTAACAAATCACCACAAATCTGGTGGCTTAAAACAACATGAATGCATGATCTTCCATTTCTGGAGCCCAGAAGTGCACAGTGGGTCTCACAAGGTTAACAAGGTGCCAGCTTGGCCGTGTTCCTTCTGGAGGCTCTAGAGGAGAAGCCATTTCCTTTCCTTTCCCAGCTTCTAGGGGCTGCCCACATTCCTTGGCTTGTGGCCCCTTCCTCATCTTCAAAGCCTGTCGCTCCAGCCTATTTCCATCCTCTTATGTCCTCCCCAACTCTAACCCTCCTGCCTTCTTCCTGTAAGAACCTTATGATTAAGTTGGGCCCCAGCCCAGTCTATTCTTAGGCTTCTAAGGATTTCTGAGGAACAGGAGTGCCATTCATTGTCAGCTGGGAGCCAGTGGGATACATGCATTGATTAGGAAGGTTTCTGAGGACAGGAGGCACCCAAACTTACAGGCCTTTGACACCCCCTCAAAGCGGTTGGTGACCAGAGAGAGGACTGAGAGTCAAGAAATAAAAAGAAGCAGGACCCCATATGTCTGTTTTATAAGAAACGTGATTCATAAGGGTGAGAGCAGACGAACAGGGACTGACGTCACATACGAACAACCTGATGGACAACCTTCTCCCTTGCCCCAATTCTGGAATCACTTCACCGTAGCACCACCATGCTTTCCATCTCTTAATGCCTTTATTTTTAGTTTGGGGTATTTTCTATTGTTTGAAGGTTGCCTTGCAACCCATACGCCTGGAGGGTTTAAACAATATAGAGTTTCTTTGCTGAGCAGCAACAGTAGCCAAGAGAGACTGAATATAAACTTTTAAGTCTATTTTCTCAGGGTTGTCCATCAGGAATGGCTTTAAACAGAAGAGCACACGCCCCCGGCCTGCCTCTCCCTGGGGGAGGGGAAAGGGGTGGCTGATGGAGAACATTTTGTGTTCTCTTATCTTTCATCCTAGTGGAAGGGGATAAGCACCAGAATAGAAAAACAAAATATCTGGCTATTAATATACCCGAAGTCCTCCAGCACATGGATTGGGTTTGTTTGTTTGCGAAAGAGAAGGATGCTTTTCTCTGACCTTCGTAAGCGCTCCTGCCAGCTGGGAGGGACCTGGTGGAGGTGGCGCCCTCCATAATAAGGTGAAGGGGCTGGGGCAGAGGGTTGGGGGGCCAGGGTCTAGCTTCCTAGGGAAAGAGAAAACCCTCAGACTTTTCTCAAGAAAAGTTGCTTTTCAGGCTCAACCTGCTTCAAGCCCTAGCAATGTCAACCAGGAAAAGAAAGAAAGGGGGCGGAAAATAAAAAAAAAAGCAGGAGGATTTCCCATGAAAGAGCCAGAGTGTCCCCACCTCCCCACCAGACATGTCTCTTTCACCCTGTTTGTACCTAACCTAGGGAACCAGAGAACTGGGCAGCCTTGCCAGAAGAAAGAACACACAGGTTCCTCAAGACACCCACTTATATGGCAGTGAGCAAGGCTAAAAAAGGAGCGCTCCCCTGCCCCAGAGGACAAAGGCTGGCAAGAGGAAGGCACGCAACGCCGCCCAGCTCAGGCTCCGACGGTTCTTCTGTGCTTCCCTCGGACCCAGTAGTGGTTTGAACGAAGGAGTGCCCCGGGGTAGGTCATCGTTTTCTGGGCGGCTAGTTAATTATAAGCTTTCTACTGGGAAGGAGCCAGAAGGAAAGGGCTTCCTCGGGGGCAGGAACACACAGGCCTCCAAGCCCCACACCTGCTGTGTCATGTCAGCGGTGCCAGAGCACCCTTTGACTGCCTGAAGAGGTCTCAACTTGCCACCCACCAGGGTCAGGTTGCCTCAAGTCCCCAGGGAGGTCTGACTAGCCAAGAGCCCCAGGCAGAGGCACCAAGAGAGGAGAGCAGCATTGGCAGGGCTTGCCCTCTCCCAGAGCAAACAGGGACAAAGGTTGGTGTACTCACGGCTGCCTCTCCCATCCTGCCTGTGCCTGCCCGCTGCGCCAGACACTCAGGTTGTCCCAGCGTTGCTACATTAGGCAGAAATCTGTCATCTCTGCCTGCTGGGTCACTCATTACCCCAGATCCGATTCCCAGGCAGGGAAGGTTGGGGCATCAGAGCAGCAGAGAAGACTTTGGCATTTGGGAGCTTTGAAACAGAAAAGCTGTCGTGTCTGTACCTGTTCAGTGGGGAGCCAAACGTGTTTATTGCGTGTGTTATGATGCTATCATGAAAGTATGCATGCGAGGAAATAATTTTTAAGCTCTCTCCTTGGCCTATCTGGAAAAGTGGGGCCCTCTGTGTAAAACCCAGCTCTGCAGGCATTCTGAGAGCTTAAACATTCCTTGTGACTATTTCTCATACTACATTTCACTGCCACCCTAGTGTGTTTGAATTTGTCTCTGTGCCAGCAGGTCTGAGTACCCATTGGGATTCTCTGTGAGAATTCAAACAAGTTGGAGGCCGCTGAGGTTGCCAAGTGCGACCAGGTCTGGCACAGACTTGGCATGACAGAGAGCAGGAGCAAGAAGGCTTGGACATCATGAATCACTGAAGCCCTGGCCCATAGCCTTCTTGTTTGGAATCCCAACACATCTATATTAATCATATAGATGTGTTATTTTTCCTTCTTTATACCTGAGAATGGCCTTCAGCTGGTGAAATGATATTTATTGAGGTAGTACTATGCTAAGCACTCTGAATGAATTATCTCATTTATCTCCCACCTCAAACCCATGAGATAGATACAACTTTATACCCATTTACAGATGAAGACTGATGCTCAGAGAAGTTCAGTAACAGCTTAAGGTGACCTGCTACATTCATCTGCAGTTATTTTGTTTGTTTGTTTGTTCATCTGAGATGAAGTCTCGCTCTGTTGCCCAGGCTGGAGTGCAGTGGTGCAATCTCAGCTCACTGCAAACTCTGCCTCCTGGGTTCAAGCAATTCTCCTGCCTCAGCCGCCTGAGGAGCTGGGATTACAGGCATGCACCACCACGCCTGGCTAGTTTTTGTATTTTTAGTGGAGACAGGGTTTCACCAAGTTGACCACGCTAGTCTCGAACTCCTGGCCTCAAGTGATCCACCCCCCTCTGCCTCCCAAAGTGCTGAGACTACAAACATGAGCCACCTTGCCCAGCCTCATCTGCAGATATGACTCACAAGCACCCTATTCTGAAAGGAGAGGAAAAAAGAAGATGAGGCTAAGTCTTTCTGAGGGCTGTAGTTGTGTACCGGTTTCTTAGAAGCTAGGGCTCTCCTGATTTATATTCCATGGGGCCATCTGAGGAAGTTGTTTAGCTTCTGAGGTGATAGATGAGGGCTGGGTCACTTTTGTTTGCAGAGCGTGGGCTGAAGGGTAAGTCAGGACATTTCTCCTCTGGTCCCCGTCAGGGACTCTCAGGCTGACTCCTGTGGCTGTGTTTATATCATCATTTTTAAGGCATCAGTACCAGCATAGCAGCTCTAAGCTCCCTCTTCCTTTCGCCGTCCTCCATGTGGAAAGAAGCCAAGCGGGAGAACTTCCCCAACCGTTTCCCCTCAGTGCAGCTGGTACCAGCTTGAAACCGAAGACACGTAGCCCTGCAGCCCGTCCGAAGCATGGCTAATCCGTGTTTCTTTAGACACAGCAGGAAGCCGCTCTGGGGCCTGGTGTCAGGAACCATCTCAGGGCCCTCGGGTGTTCTGCTTCCTTGGTTTGCCCCCGAGGGTTCAGCAGGCAGATGAAGCCCTCAACACGGACTCTGTAGACAGGGACTGTCATCAGCAGCTTACTGAAGAGAGCAAAGAGGATGCCTGGGATTTGAGTCTTTTACTCAGGGCCTTTTCTGGAAAAGCAGCCTCTTTGGAAAAGGAGGATGATAGAGGAGTTTCTACAGAGTGGAAGCAGCTCCCTCCATGTGTGGCCGTGAGAGGGGAGTGGCAGTCCAGTGCCATGCCCCATCCCAACAGGCGGCCTCCAGCTGCCATCAGCGCCCTTTGCCATGCCTTTGTCCTGGGGGTGGCCTACAGTGTTGGTAGGGGACCCTGCCTCTCCTGGCCATCCCCATAGGTTACATCTCCCCCCCACACCCCCCTGCCACAGTCTGCTGCTCCAGCATAGCTCCCAGAGCCTGGTTTCACCCTGCCAGGCACCTCTGTCCGGCACAGCAGCTGCACACATCAGCTCTGCCCCGCTCTGTGTTTCTGAATTATTCCCACTGGCCACCAGCGTCAGCTCTGCCCTCCCAGTGTCCTGATATCCTCTGGTTAATAAGCAACTCACATAAAGACACCAAGAGCTGTTGCAAGTGGTAGAGAAAAGCCGCAGCTCTCTGAATACAGTCCAGGAAGCCCTGGACTTGGCCCAGGAACTTGGTGGCCGTTTCTGTTTTCTGCCCCTTGGTAACCTTCCTCATGGGGCATAGAAGGGAGAGAAGCTTGAATCCTCACCCTGAGACATAGGAGACCACAAGGCAGTGAGGGATTTTATTAGTCAACAAAAGAGAACTCTTGCTGAAGCCAGAAGACCCTTCCTGGAAGAGTCCTCTTTTCTTAAAGAAAAAAACATCCTGCCCTTTATTCTTTCAAATCTATTTCTAGAAAAGTCTTAGGGTTCCTGCTAATGCAAACACCAGTATCCCACCTTCCCTCTCCCCTGTCTCTGTGAGCTGCCTGGGTGGCACACTTCCTGCCACGCACCCCCATCTCCTATGCTGTTTTATCCCCTGGGGTTTGGAGATATCCCTGTGGAAGGGGACAGGGGGGACTGTGTGCCAGATCCCCGTGCCCATTGTCACCTTGGTCTGAATCCAGCCCCACAAGGGAAGCTGGAGCTGTCTCCCTGTGTCTCCCTGGGCCTGCCCATTGTCAAGGTCCTGGTCACCTTTGAAGCCTCCTGCAGGGATCCCCAGTGCCAACGGAGCCTTTTCCGAAGCCCAGTAGCATGACGTTTGAGACTTGGAAATCCCTAGACAAATAAATCTCACTTAATCCTCACCAAGTTGGCCCCCAGCGGAGACAATTGCATAGCCAGATTTATCAGGTACCGCCAGTTATTGCAGCAAACATTCCTTCTGTTCCAGGCATTGCATTCAGGCTGGGAATACAGGGTAAACAAGACAAGTCTCTGTCCTTGCGGAGCAACCAGACCCTCAGAAGAGACACACATAAAACACGGAGTCCTGCTCATTTTGCATGCCTCGTACCCAACACTTCACTCTCCCAGGCTCTCGCAGTTCCTACCTCTTGCCATTTCCCAGCTCTGTAATGTGAATTGCTTACTCTATGCCTCAGATTCCTCATCTGTAAAATGGGTTATTAATAATGTCTACCTCATAGAGGCACTGTGAGGATTTAATGAGATACGTATTTTAGGGCACATAGCAGTGCCTGGCAAGTAGGGCTAAGGTGGCATTGGCTGTTACTTTCTCCTGAGGATAATATTTGCCAGGGACAGCAGTGGACTCAGGCAGAACTGGACTGTAACCCTGGTTTCCCCACATATTAACAACTGTATTCTTTTGGGCAAAACAATCTCTCAGTGTCAGCTTCATGGGTAAAGACAAATTACTTCATAAGAATAAGTTCAGGCCGGCTGGTCACAGTGGCTCACTCCTGTAATCCCAGCATTTTGGGAGGCTGAGGCAATTGGATCGCTTGAGGTTAGGAGTTTGAGACCAGACTGGCCAACATGGTGAAACCCCGTCTCCATTAAAAATACAAAAATTAGCCGGGTGTGGTGGCACATGCCTGTACCTCCTAGCTACTCAGGAGACTGAAGCAGGAGAATTGCTTGAACCTGGGAGGTGGAGGCTGCAATGAGCCACAGCACTTGAGCCTGGGTGACCGAGCAAGAACCTGTCTCAGAACAAAATAAAACAAACAAAAAAGAATAAATTTGGCCGGGCGCGGTGGCTCAAGCCTGTAATCCCAGCACTTTGGGAGGCCGAGGCGGGTGGATCACGAGGTCAAGAGATCGAGACCGTCCTGGTCAATATGGTGAAACCCCATCTCTACTAAAAACACACAAAAAAGTAGCTGGGCATGGTGGCACATGCCTGTAATCCGAGCTACTCAGGAGGCTGAGGCAGGAGAATTGCCTGAACCCAGGAGCGGAGGTTGCGGTGAGCCGAGATCGCACCATTGCACTCCAGCCTGGGTAACAAGAGCGAAACTACGTCTCAAAAAAAAAACAAAAGAATAAATTTGGCTGGGCGCGGTGGCTCACGCCTGTAATCCCAGCACTTTGGGAGGCTAAGGCGGACGGATCACAAGGTCAAGAGATCGAGACCATCCTGGCCAACATGGCGAAACCCCGTCTCTACTAAAAAATACAAAAATTAGCTGGGCGTGGTGGCGCGCACCTGTAGTCCCAGCTACTGTGGAGGCTGAGGCAGCAGAATTGCTTGAACCCAGGAGGCAGAGGTTGCAGTGAGCCAGGATAGTGCCACTGCACTCCAGCCTGGCACCCGGTGACAGAGTGAGACTCCATCTCCAAAAAAAAAGAAAAAGAATAAATTCAGACCAAATGCAGTGGCTCACACCTTTAATCCCAGTACTTTGGGAGGATGAGGCAGGATGATTGCTTGAGCCCAGGAGTTCAAGACCAGCCTGGGCAACATGGTGAAACCCCACCTCTACAAAAAGTACAAAAATTAGCTGGGCATGGTGGCAAATGCCTGTAGTCCCAGCTACTTGTGAGGCTGAGGCAGGAGGATTGCTTGAACCCAGGAGGCAGAGATTGTAGTAAGCCGAGAGTGCATCACTGCACTCCGGCCTCAGCAACAGAGCAAGACTCTGTCTCAAAAAAGTGAAATAAAATAAATTCAGGCCAAGTGTGGAGGCCTGCACCTATAATCTCAGCCCTTTGGGAGCCCAAGGTGGGCTTGAGTCTAGGAGTTCAAGACCAACCTAGGCAACATAAAAAGACCTCATCTCTACTAAAAATAATAACAATAAAATAACACACTGAGTATGATGGCATGTACCTACGGTCCCAGCTACTCAGGAGGCTGAGGTGGGAGGATCACTTGAGTCCAGGAGGTTGAGGTTGCAGCCGTGATTGTGCTACTACAGCCTGGGCAACAAAGCAAGACCCTGTCTAAAGAAAAAAATGCATTCGCTGATGTATATGACTATGTGAAAGTACCAAACAGGTAGCAAGAGCTCAACGCACGCAGCCTCCTGGGACTTCTTAAGGCTCTGCTGACCCAAGGCGCCAGGAAAGCAGAGGAGACTCAGAAGCCAGGGCCTCCTGTAGGAAGTAGTCCCCAGTTCCACCAGTTAGTCCCACAAGCTGGACCCTCCCTGATTCGGTCCTGATTCTCACAGAGAAGCGCGTTCCATGATCGACTGTGTCCCCTCCCTCTGTCCTCTGTGCCTCTGTACTAAGTACCAGGAGGCCCCGTCCTGTCCACACTCAGCCATCGCTTGGCCGGAGATAGACATGTAGCTCCTCTAATCTTTCCCCGCAGCTCAGCCACCTCACTCCCCTCACCCCTGATTCCATCCCTTGTTCCCCTAGCTCCTTGATCAAATTAAGGGAAAGAAGAGGATTTAGATAGGGTTGCTAAATATATATCCGTTCAGGGGAGGGAGAAAAAGAGAAGAGTTTGGAGAAGGAGATAGAGTGTGAAATTCCTTAATGGAATGTGCTTTGAGAGCCTGCTTTCTCCAGAATAAGGCCTGCAATCACCTATCTGGATAGAGTTTTCTCTTTGGCAAAGTGCTTTCACATACATTATCTCATTAAGATATGGGCCAGGGTGGCAGAGTGCCCACTCCCTGGAAAGGTCTGCCGAGGCCACTGGGCCTCGTGAGCTGGCCTGACCCTGGTCTATATATTTCACAGGACACCCTGGCCCCAAAGGGGTGACTCGGCTTTCTGTGGAGCATGACACCAGCAGCCAGGCCACTCACGTCTGGAGGTCACCGTTTCCCTCTGTTCTCCCGGCAGCGGATTCCAGATCTTTTTTACAGTTTTTCTTTTGAAAAACCAGAAGAGTCCTTATTTTAGAAATCCTTGAAAATACACTGAAGAATAAAGGAGAATCATTTATAATCGGCAATTTAACTACTGGTAAAACTTGGGGCAAAACAATCTCTTTAAGTGTTTTGGAAACGCACCCATATCTTTATGCATATGTGTACAGGTTGGAAAATGGGGTTACGTGCACATACATTGTATCTGCTTTTCTGTTTAACTTATTATTTTTGTGTTCCAGTTCATCAAAAATTCTTCTGAAATGTTATTTTTAAATAGCATGAATTACAAGGGCCAGGCATGGTAGCTCACCCCTGTAATCCCAGCACTTTGAGAGTCCAAGATGGGCAGACTTGAGCCCAGGAGTTTGAGACCAGCTGGCCAACATGGTGAAACCCCATCTCTACTAAAAATATAAAAATCAGCCAGGCCAGTAACTCATGCCTGTAATCCCAGTAGGTTGGGAGGCTGAGGCGGGTGGATCACCTGAGGTCAGGAGTTCAAGACCAGCCTGGACAACATGGCGAAACCCCGTCTCTACTAAAAATATAAAAAATCAGCCAGGTATGATGGCATGTGCCTGTAATCCCAGTCACTCAGGAGGCTGAGGCAGGATAATCGCTTGAATCCAGGAGGCAGAGGTTGCAGTGAGCCGAGATCATGCCACTGCACTCCAGCCTGGACAACAGAATGAGACTCTGTCTCAAAAAAAAAAAAAAAAGAAGAAGGCCGGGCGCGGTGGCTCAAGCCTGTAATCCCAGCACTTTGGGAGGCCGAGGCGGGTGGATCACAAGGTCAAGAGATCGAGACCATCCTGGTCAACATGGTGAAAACCCGTCTCTACTAAAAATACAAAAAATTAGCTGGGCATGGTGGTACGTGCCTGTAATCCCAGCTACTCAGGAGGCTGAGGCAGGAGAATTGCCTGAACCCAGGAGGCGGAGGTTGCGGTGAGCCGAGATCGTGCCATTGCACTCCAGCCTGGGTAACAAGAGGGAAACTCCGTCTCAAAAAAAAAAAAAAGAAGAAGAAGAAGAAAGAATAATTAGCTGGGTGTGGTGGCACACACCTTTAATTTCACCTACTTGGGAGACTGAGGCACAAGAATCACTTGAACCGGGGAGGTGGAGGTTGCAGTGAGCTGAAATCATGCCACTGCACTCCAGCCTGGGTGATGGAGTAAGACGCCATCGCAAAAAAAGAAAAGAAAAAGCATGAACTGAGATTTTTTTCCCTGATTAAAAATTATACATGTTCATTATTAAATAATTATTGCTCACATTTATCTAGTCTTTTTTTTTTGTTTTGAGTCAAGGTCAAGTGTAGCGGTATGATCACAGCTCATTGGAACCTCAACCTCCTGGGTTCAAGTAATCCTCCTGCCTCAGCCTCTCAAGTAGCTGAGACCACAGATATACACCACCACACCCAGGTAATTTTTGTATTTTTTTGCAGAGACAGGGTTTTGCCATGTAACTCCGGGCCTCAAGCAATCTGCCCACCTCAGCTTCCCAAAGTGCTAGGATTAGAGGCATGAACTTCCATGCCTGGCCTTATCTAGTGGTATAATAAACCAGGAAGTCTCACATGTGATTCTCACAGCAACCCTCCAAGATAGATCTCCTGGCTTCAAATGACTTCCTGCCTCAGCCTCCCAAGTGCTGAGATTACAGGCGTGAGCCAGCACACCTGGCCCAATTACTGTTTTTTTTTAGACAATGTCTTGCTCTGTTGCCCAGGCTAAAGTGCAGTGGTGCAGTCACAGCTCACTGCAGCCTCAAGTTCCTGGGCTCAAGCAGTCTTCTCACCCTTGACCTCCTGAGTGGCTGGGACTACAGATGTGTACCACCATGCCCAGAAATTTGATTTTTTGTCGAGACAGAGTCTCACCATGTTGCCTAGGCTGGTCTCAAAATCCTGGGTTCAAGCAATCCTTCCACCTTGGCCTCCCAAAATGCTAGGATTACAGGCGTGAACCACTGTGCCCGGCCCTAGTGACCATTTTTAATGACTGCATAATATTCTCCAGTATGGACTTACTGTGATGAACAGTTAAGGTTGTTGGACGTTAAAGGTTTTTTTCTTTTGCTATGATCAGGAAATAATGAGCATCTTTGCATAAACCATCTTTGTTCACATCTCTTATCTCTTGTCATTTCTTTAGAATCTTTCCTAGAAGTGAAACTACTGAGTCATCCTTTTTAAAGTCTCATCACGTGTTATCAAGTGACTTTCCAGAAAGCCAGCATGTACTCCTACCAGCATGCGGAACAGGTGCTCACCACCACGCCCAGCTAAGTTTTTTTTTTTTTATAAAGACAGGGTTTCACCATGTTGGTCTGGCCGGTCTTGAACTTCTGACCTCAAGTGATCCACCTGCCTTGGCCTCCCAAAGTGTTGAGATTACAGGCATGAGCCACCACGCCCAACCTAATTTTTATGTTTTTAGTAGAGACCAGAGTTTCACCACATTGGCCAGGCTGATCTCGAACTCCTGACTGCAGGTGATCTGCCCGCCTTGGCCTCCCGAAGTGCTGGGATTACAGGCATGAGCCACCATTCCCAGCCTTAAGTTTCAGTCTGGACACAGTTACTTTAGGGGTGCGTCATGGAGGGGAAGAATGTTTTCAGATTCAACGTCTCCCACAGAACCTCAGTCTTAATGAGGACTGTGTCCCTGTGTCCCTGTTTTGGCCTCTCCTTCCTCCCTCTCACCCGCAACCTCACTGTGTGGCCCCTGCAGAACTGCCCCACCTCAGAGGAAAGGTCAGAGCTCGAGATCTCCCTTAAACGGAAGTTCAAATGTGCACTGTCAGGCTGTCCTGGAGATTAGTACAGTTTTATTCAGGAAGTACCAAGCCAAGCCAGCCGGCCCATGCCCTCTGCTTTCTCTTCTCAGGACACTTACATTCCTTTTTTTCTCATGGGAGGTGAGAGTGGGAATAGGGCCAGAAGAAGAAACTCGCTTTCCCATGAGCCCGTGGCGGAGGCAGCGTGGCCTTCCCTGCTGAGCTTCTGACTGGGCTCCCCTGACCCGGAGGAGCCCTAAGGTCCTTGGAGCCAGTGAGAAATGCACTTTCATCTCCAGGACGTTACACAATCACCTTCGTGTGCCTAGAGCATCAGGAGGGCAGAATGTGCAGCCCCGCGCTGAGAAGCAGGTGCTGGCTGGTTAGTCACTGCGCACTCACTGCTGGCCCGGCTGCCATCCGGATGGATGGTGCGCACTCCTTTGGGGTGGGGCTCCTGCCCCACTGCACTGCAGTTACCCGTCCTGCCAGCTGGTCCAGGAACACCTAACAGCTCCTTCCCAGGCTTTCCATCAGCTTGCACCTCTCCCTGTCCCTGGAGAACTTGGGACTCTCCCTTCTAGGGACTCTCCCTGAGGCCACACTCACCCCCATTTCCCTGCTTCCTCCACTTAGAATCTTTCTTTCTCTTGGATCTTTGGCCCACATACTGGACATTCAGTTCTGTCACCCAGGCTGCTGTGCAGGGGTGTGATCTCAGCTCACTGCAGCCTCCGCCTCTTGGGTTCAAGCTATTCTTGAGCCTCAGCCTCCTAAGCAGCTGGGATTACAGATGTGCCCCACCACACCTGGCTAATTTTTGTATTTTTAGTAGAGATAGGGTTTCACATTTTTGGCTAGGCTGGTCTTGAACTCCTGGCCTTAGGTGATCCACCCACCTCGGCCTCCTGTAGCACTGGGATTACAGGCATGAGCCACTTTGCCTGGCCTGGACATTCCGTTCTATCAGCATCAGGTCTTCCCTGAATAGAGGTAAAGGGGACTTCAAATCCCTGCAGGCTGGGAAAATGGAGAAGGTGGAAGCTCAGCCTCTGGAATGGTTGGGAGAACCTTTCCTCAGCCCTTGGATGTGACACCTGAGTGTCTTACAGCAGGATCATGTCTTCAACTCTGTCTTCCACTGAGTCCTCATTCAGAAGGCTCCCTTCTTTTCTTGTGGAGTGTCCAAGCCCGGGATGGTGTGGGTGTTTCATTCCATGAGCAGGTTGGCCTTGTGAAGGGACAGGAATGGTGTGGGGCCGCAGGAAGCTAAAGGTGGCCCTCCACTTCTGCTAACAGCGCTTCGGGGGCATCATTGACAAGTGTCCAAGGACATTTGCCAGGTAGAGAAGCAGCTAGGGTTAGAGACACAGAGATGTAGAAGCCCTTTTAGAGTCAGAGCGAGATAAAGGTGGCCAGCAGGCCATGTGAGTGAGCACCCACAGTGCTGTTGAATTGAGAGGCGGGGCTCCAACAGATCCGAGGCCCCCAGGAAGGCTTCACAGAGACAACTACTCAAGGTGGGCCTTGAAGGCAAGATGTAAGACGTGAACGGTGTTCTCGCAGAAGTGGACATTTCCTCGGGGTGAGAAGCAGGCAACACCACAGAGGTGGGAAGGCAGCTGGTGCATTTAGGAATTGCTAGATCATTCTTGCTGCTATGGAACACGTGTATAGGGTATGCACCAGGCAGGGTTCCACCAGAGGAACAGAACCAGTAGGAGACAGAGCCATGGGGCAAGAGATTTACTGAAAAGAGCTGACTTAATGTGATTGTGGGGGCTGGCTAGGAAAATTTGAAATCCTTGGGGCAGGCTGTTAGGAAGGGCAGACTTGAAACTCAGCCAGGACCTGAAGCTGCCGTCCATAGGTGGGATTTCTTCTTTGGAAAAGCCTCAGCTCTGTTCTTAAAGTCACTCAACTGATCGGATCAGACCACCCCCCACCCCCACCCTCCCCGCCCCCCACAGAACATCTGAAATAAACTCATTAACTTAAAGTCAACTTATTATTATTATTTTTGTAGATAAGGTCTTGCTCTGTCACCTAGGCTAGAGTGCAGTGGCACAATCATGTCTCACTGCAGCTTCAATCTCCTGACCTCAAATAATCCTCCCACCTCAGCCTCCTGAGTAGCTGGGATTACAGATGCACACCACCACACCTGGCTAATTCTTGTATTTTTTGTAGAAATGGGGTTTCACCATGTTGCTCAGGTTGGTCTCCAACTCCTGGGCTCAAGCTATCTTCCTGCCTCAGCCTCCCAAAGAGCTGGGATTACAGGTGTGAGCCACTGTGCCCAGCCTACAGTC